ATCGGTCCACCTCTTTTGGTACCATTGACTGATCTGATCTGATGTCACAATGGTCCTCACCAAAATAGATGCTGGAGCCCATAACTGAGGGACAGCTGTGGCGTAAGAGGGCAACCCTGCTCCATGGTTGTGGCTGGAGGCCTTGCAACCATAGAGAGTTGACTTTTTAGTGCAGGGATGGCGAATCTGTGGTCCTTGAGATGCTATGGACTCCAACTCCCATCAGCCCCAGCCAGCAGTGACTACATAACCGCTGCTCCATAGCAATTGTTGTTTTACTCTTCCATTCACCATATAGATGGGTTTATGAAGTATTTCTGCATCCTTCTGCTGTGCTGAAGAAGAATTCCACGAAACAGTGGGTATATCCAGAATCACTGTTCACAACGTCTGTTTGCGAACTACTTCGGCAGCGTTGGACGCCATAAACAAAGCTTAACAGCATGTTTTCACCAGATAAGAATCTGATACATTGCTTCTTTCAGAGACTTGCATAGTCTTCAAAGACTTTCAGAGACTTATAAGACTTATGTTTATTTGTTTTCAAGAGAATCCATTAAGAGTGCATATTGTGTGACTTTCAGAGATTCATAAGTTTTCTGTTTATGTGATTTCATATATTTCATATTATATAGAGTGTATATTGATATCGTATCATTGTATTTGGTCATCGTGTTGCCTTGGATATTACTGACTATTGTTTGCAACACAGGGGCTAAATTGTTTGGTTACCAGTGGTCACGCATGACTGGAGTTGTAGTCCAGAAACATCTGGAACGCCACAGGTTCCTTGTCTCCCCTTTGGATTTAGAATTCCAAAATCTACAGACAATGCTGAGCTAAATTAAATACTGTTGGGTTGCATTAGCCCTGCAGGCAGTTTGAGTGGCACTTAAGAGGCACAGCCTTGTCGGGCAGTTCTTTTACCACAAACAGGCAAGCAAGAGCAGCTCCTTTTAAGATAGCATAGTCAAAGCAATGTTTCTAAGAAGCACATCACTAGTAGCAGACCGTGAGCGGACGATCTGTATCTAGACAACCAGCAATTATTTTAAAACAGCGCTTTCTTTATTTTGGTGTGTTTGTTGTGTTGATTACTTCACGCTTGCGTGGTTTATGTGTGTCCACTGCCAAAGCTTATGTACACTGCTGAGTAATTGAAAAAGGAGGACACAGAAACCCAGGCATCCCATCATCCCTGGTAACACAAATATTGGGCCATGTGATTGGCACCTGGGCCTCTCAAGAGGACAGAAAGTCTCTCACGCATGTTGCTGGGTCTATTCACCTCCCCCTCTTACCTGCTACTCTTGTGATTTGCCTCCCCATTCATTGTGGGTTTCCGTTCTTATTCTTCATCCTTTCAACCCTCTTTTCCCCTTTTCTCATAATTTTCTCAGTATCAGTCCCGGGGTTGGCAACCTGCAGCCCATGGGCCACAAGCAGCCCACAGGAGTCATTTAAATGACCCATGAGCCGCCCCCGAACTGAGCCACCCGCTCAGCGAGTCTCCGTGCGCTGCGCTAAACTGGTGCAGCGCGGAGTGGGGACTCACTTCTGTGGTGCCGGAAATCGCATCTACAGAGATGCAGACGCCGGACATTGCGTCTGTACAGACACGATCAGGCCCACGGAGCAATCTCTGCGGGAGTGAACTGACCCAGGCAAGGTAAACCTTGCTGACCCCTCTCATGGTCCCTGTTGTTCCCCTTTGCCTTTTCTCAACCCCACCTTCTTTTTCTCTCCTCACTTCCCCACTAGGGCTGGGCAATACCTAGTTTTCAAGGTCGCGATATGCCGATACAGTGGTGCATCGGGTTAAGAACTTAATTCGTTCTGGAGGTCCGTTCTTAACCTGAAACTGTTCTTAACCTGAAGCACCACTTTAGCTAATGGGGCCTCCTGCTGCCGCCGGAGCACAATTTCTGTTCTCATCCTGAAGCAAAGTTCTTAACCCGAGGTACTATGTCTGGGTTAGCGGAGTCTGTAACCTGAAGTGTCCGTAACCTGAAGCGTCTGCAACCCGAGGTACCACTGTATATCACAATGTCTGAAATAAGGGTACAGCTATGTAGAGGCACTGGTTAGCTTCACAATTTTTCCTGCATCATGGTTGTTGCCGGTGCCTGCTCATGTGATTCGCTGCCCCCCTGCCTGAGGCTGGGCAGAGCTGAACTGTCAAAGTTAACAGAGTTAACAACGGTTACAGGAATTGAGAGAAGCGTTGGCTGGCTTTGCGATTTTTCCCACCAGTGTGGTGTAGTGGTTAAGAACCGGGTTCGCGTCTCCACTCCTCCACATGCAGCTGCTGGGTGACCTTGGGCCAGTCACACTTCTCTGAAGTCTCTCAGCCTCACTCACCTCACAGAGTGTTTGTTGTGGGGAAGGAAGGGAAAAGGAGAATGTTAGCCGCTTCGGGTATCACTACTCCTTCGGGTAGTGATAAAGCGGGATATCAAATCCAAACTCTTCTCCTTATTGTGATTTTTGCATAGCACACGCACGCACACACACACACATTATGATTCGCGATATATTTCCAGGTCGGAAATTATGAAACCAACACCACGATATGGACTTCAAACTGGTTTTGGATGATATATCAATATATCTATCGCCCCGCCTTACTTACTGCTTCCACAAAATACTTTTCTTTCCCTTCATAGCCTTCTCAGGGAAGTGGGACATCATTCAAGTCATAGTTGCGCAGGACCAAGCTCCGGAACGTCTTCCAATATCAGCACTCAAGCTGAGAGCATGTAAATCAGTAAGGAGTGGCGGCAGCCGTGAATGCAGTTCACCACTAGTTAAGACATTACATGGTAGAAGTCACTAACTGGGGAAAGGGGCTGTTTTAAAGTCTGTGAGTTTCTGCAGCTTTCTGCCCCAGTTGGATACACCAGCACTGATATCTGGCCTGGGCTGGCAAGCCGCCATTTTAAATTTCTCACAGTGTCTCCTACATTGTATTGCTGTCTGAAGCATTGTGGGAAATCAAAATGGCCATCTGCTGCACCTGCATCACGCAAGCCCATGGCCAGGGGCCCACCAGATACAGGAGAACAACTTGCCATATGGCCCCTCAGACTTTGAGGGCCCAAGTTCTAGACTGGCTTGAACCCTCTCAGTTAAGCATTGCCTAGAAAGTTAAGGATGGGGAGTAAATAAATCCAAATCACCAGAGAGAACAGATTCTGTTCTTTCACTAGTACATTTGGGACTCCATGCCCACTTCTAAAAAACAACAACTAGCTGGTTTTTAAATTCTGCAAAAACATTTGCACCCCAGGGGAAGGCAATATTTTGCATCGGAGGCTTTTGGCAGGTTAGGAGAGGGTGTGATTACACGTCTGTCTTGGTTAGAGGCGAGCTAATTCTACCGTAGCAGATGGAGGAAGTTATCACACTCATATGCAACCCACCTCAAATGCCTGCTAAGCAAAAATAAATCTATTGATCCACAGCAAAGACATTTTCGAGGAGATGCTGTACACAACAACAGGGATTGTCAGAAAAAGGAAAAAAAAACATATTGCAAGTTTGGGATGGTAACTTGAAGGCACGCTCCCTGCATTTCAGAAACAGATTGAGATGGGGAGAATAAGCACATGGGGCTGCAGAAAAGGCAATCGACAGAGCAGAGCAGGTCATGGGCAGAACTACTCTAAACACCCGTCAACCACGCGGCCATAAAACTCGCCTGACCAGTTCCAATTGGGCAACGCCAGGGAGAATTTATTCCCTATAAGCATTGCTGCAGCTTATTAAGTAGAGAGACACGGCTGTCAAGGAGGAAGTTGCAGGAACACTGGGCTGGTCCAATCTGTTTTGAGCCAGACAAATTAATTGGAACGACTTTCAAACAGTTTTGTGGCTGTAATTCTGCAAACAGTAGTCTATTCATGTCATCTGTACAATGTGTTAAGTGGGTTTCTACATAAACAAGATTCCAGTGGCTATTGCTCAGGCCTGCCCCCTTCATTGCCTACTTGATGACAGGCCTGAGCTAAATCAACCCGGACAGTACCTACAATGCACATAAAACAGATCCAGAACTCACCCCAAACCAGGCCCCTTTTTATAAAAGGGCCCCCTTAGCCCTAGGCAGCCCAGAGAGCAGAACCTCCATCTTTCAGAAAGCATCACTGAGAGGCAAAAAGGCAACTAAGAAAGCTATCTCTGTTAATTTATTAACGAATAACAGCAACTACTACTACTACTACTACTACTACTACTACTACTACTACTATTATTATTATTATTATTATTATTATTATTATTATTATTATCATCATCATCATCATTATTATTTGCCCTAAGGTCCTGGAACAGTTACAACAATTAAAACACCATGTGAAAAACAGTTTAAAACAACTTACAATTAACTGAAATAAAACAGGTCCAAAAAACATCTCTCTCAAGTGTCAAAAGCCAGGGCAACGACTAAAGAAATGCAACAATGGATCATGTACAAAAGCCAGTGATGTACAGTGCAAATTCCAGCACTAGCTGGTGGTGCAGTAGGGTGGAGACAGCCTCCTGCCACCGGCATCGCTGCAACCTGCCAAGGTGAGCCGCCAGGAGTGGTGGCTTGGCCCCAATGGCGCATACATGCAGCCTTGACCTTGCTGCTGCCTTGTCCACTCGATCCTTATCCATCCATGAAAGCTGCAGCGGTGCTGATGTCCGGAGACTGGCTTCAAGGCTCTGCCCCAACCCACTGCTGAATGCCATGAAGGACAACAGATACTGCCAACATTCCTTTTGGGCAGTTGCAGGGACATCAAGATGAAAACTCACCCAGTGATTTTGTTCTTATTCCCCTAGTTTTCCACCAGGCCTGAGAGGGCATGGCCTTGACTGACTCCAGCTACAAAAGCTGAGGCTGTTGAACAAACTATTGGGCTGGGGTTTTGTTGTTATGGGGGGGGGGGTTCTTGCTGTTGGTTTCTGTATCTTTAATTTAGATTCTGTTGTGATTTGTGTGGAAAGTGTTTGGTTTGTTTTTGTTTTTTAACGTTTAATTTATTGTTTATGACTACTTTTCTTCTGTTGTACTTAGGTATTTTTTTCCATGTTGTAAGCCACCTTGAGCATCTTTCTGAAATGTATGTATAAAAAAGCATACAAAGTTATCCAAATACATTGATAATCCAAACACATACAATATATATAAGACTAGATAGCCACCACCGAATAAAGCAGGCAAATTTAGTTTTAGCTTTAAAGATCTTGGCTAAGTACCCCTAAAGTTTCGGGAGTATCATCCCTCAACAAATACTGGATTACAGACTCTTCATAAATCAATATTTTAAGCTGTAAGGGAGTCACTAGGAGGTCTCTGTGATTGGAGTCGAGAAGAGGGCAATCCAAAATTATGTGATGTATTGTATCTGGTGTTTTCTTTTTTATATATACAGTACTAATTTTTATTAATTTTTCTGTTTTACAATTTCTCAGCGCTGGGCTGAGATGAATGCTGAGAGGAACGCCGGGGGAATCAGTGTTTTAGTGAGAAGGTGAGAAGGAAAACAATGTATGTATAAGGTATTTCTTGTTTGTTTGTTTGTTTGAAATGAAAACAAGGCTGGAATACATCAAAACACTACATCCCAGAAGCAATGTAACGTTAAACTGCCTTCCCCTCCCATGCATCAATTCTGAATATTTTTAAGAGGCATATTAGGCATGTTGCAAAAACAAAACAGAAACAAAAATCTGGTCCACTTTAAAGAAAAAAGACACTGCAAATGTCAAGAGATGCTCAGTTCAAGGTAGTGGAATATTTTCGTGCAAAATTTGATAACCCTGCTGCCAAGAGAAAGGCCAACCATCTCTGCTGTGGAAAAAAAAATCTGATATTGCAGTGGGTTGAAGTGAGTCAGAAGCAATGTAAAACCATGGTTTGGCATTCTGTGGATGGGCATTGCTGGACCCCCAGCTAGAAACTTGGTTTCAAGTCTACAAGCAAACCATGGTTTACTGGCTCAGGGAGGAAATGGCAAACTGTGCCTTTCCTGACTCCAGGAAGAAGAAGAGTTTGGATTTGATGTCCTGCTTTATCACTACCCGAAGGAGTCTCAAAGTGGCTAACAATCTCCTTTTCCCTTCCTCCCCCACAATAAACACTCTGTGAGGTGAGTGAGCCTGAGAGACTTCAGAGAATGCATAAACCATGGCAAGTCAGTATATGAAACCATGATTCAAAGAGGGTCTGGAAACCATGGTTAAGCAACCCTATCTTCTCTACACATTTGTTAGGCACACATTATATTTCTGCATTCCACAGATTTCAAGTCTTCAGCTTTACTTCCTAATATTCAACCCAGCTTCCCTGAGATTGCAGCACTTGCCAAATGATCTTCTCACGCTTCAAATCTTGCTTAGAAGAAGAAGAAAGCTGGTCTCCGATCCAAACTTTGGATTAAGCAGTAAGGATTTTGAAAGATTTGTGACAAGCTACTCAGACTTAAATTAGAAAAAGGGGGGACTCACTTGGCTAGAGTACATGTCCTTTCTAAAGAGACTGTAACTGCCAGAATATTTTAAAACATGTCAGTTTTGATGCCCACAAATTCATTTAAATAAGGCTTGAGTCTTGACAAACTAACAGTATGGTTTCTTCATCCTGTATGAGTGTTTTATTATCAGAGACTGGATAGCAATAAGACCCTTCACGTTTATGTGTTTTAATCCTGTATTTTTAAAAAATAAAAAATAAAATGAGATGTTTTCCTGGACAGGCCTGAGAATTCAGGTGGAAAATGGCATTTGGGCAGATTCTCTGCAAATCAGAAAAATGTCCAGGAAAACCTGGACGTATGGCAAGGGGAATAAAATATTTTAAAAGTCATTTTAAATAGTTCAGCAACATTTGTCCAGATTTTCACTTTTGAGAATATGGCAACCCTACTTCAAGCAAAAAGGAAACAAAATGATGAATGTAAAGCTATAAGACAATCAAGAGAATAAAACTGATTATGCAATGCTTTTAAGAAACGAAAGCTATAAATCCAAATGGTTTCATATACGAAATTGTTTTATATACGCTCTTACTGTTAAATCGCTTCAAGATGTTTCCCGAGAAGTGAATCATGAACGGAACGAGACAAACAAATCATATCAAATGTGTTCAAATACGTTATTTTCTAAATGGTTGGAAATGTGTACGTAGAAGTTTTATTTCCCCTACGCACACCCCCAAATTGGCAAAAGTACCAGTCACCAGGCGCTGTAGAAGTGGTCTGTTCTCTATCCAACCTCAAGGAACTGCTATATTTTCTGCAGTGTACCCTAAAAGTAGTGCCTGCTTTCTGCTGGTAAACAACAGGCACCCCCCAAATGTAGCTCTGCTGACCACAGGTCCTCTCTTCTTTAAATCAGCCCTTTTGCACGTTTGAAAACGGCTATCACACTTCCCCCATAATCTTCTTTTCTCTAAGCTAAAGATGCCCTGGTCTTCCCAGCCTTTTCCCACATGGCCTAGATTCCAAAGCCCTTCTTATCTTCAGCGCTGTTCTGCAAACCCAGCTCCCTTCTCAGTTTCTTGGAGCACGACGTGAAAAACTACCGTAGCTACTGATCTCACATGCAACTGCCATCATTTCCCAGGGAACATTCTCTATTTCCTGGACCCTGCGCTTGGTGAATCAAGGGTCCCCATTTTGTTTTCCGGGTGTGTGTGCGTGTTGTGTGTGCTAGACCTGTCATTGATCAGGGTTCAGTTCTCTCTGCAGGGAAAGCCTGCAGGACTTAAAATTTAGGATGGCCGCTTACATATCACTAAGGAAACAGGAAATTCATCAAAAGAAATCACCTTGAGTCAAAGGACGCAACTTTGCATCAGCTAATTTATACACATAGGTGCAATTTAATATATAATTACTATAATTAATCCAAAAATATTATCATCAAGGCCAGCTGGCGCTCCATGGCAAAATACTTGGGCAAAGGTTTGCTTAAATAATTTCTAAACCGCTTTGTACAATGACCTCTCTATAAAGCTTACAGGCATATAACAATCACACAAAGCGCATTTGCGTGTGTCATTTTCACCAATGTATTTGTGTTTATGCACGCTTTTCCCCAATATATGCACTTTCAACAATGTCTGGTTATCAAACCGCATAGCAAAATTTGGATAATGGTGAACTTCGAAGGACAGCTGTGTTTCGGTTCACCTACTGATTAAGAAAGTGCTTCAAATTGGGTAGGTCTCAGCCTCCTAAATTGCATTTTGACTACAGTAAACTGCCCAGTGTGATCTTTGGATGAAGGGTGGTCTATACATTTAATAAATAATAATAATAATAATAATAATAATAATAATAATAATAATAATAATAATAATAATAATATAATACTATAGCGGAAAAGCAAAGTCTTCCATATGCATAGCCCGGGACATTTTATGCATGCTGCACTGATAAAACTCAATGCATAAGAAAGAAGAACAGTATCGTTAGAAGGGAAAGGACGTCTGCTCCACGAGTCTGCTATGAACACAGCATGTTGAAGCATAAGAAGAGGTCAACGTGCGGCTGACCTGCACTAAAATGATTATGATTTAATTCCATGTCCTCTGGTTACAGCAGAACTCCTGGCTCTGTCAGCAGCAGTGAGTTATCACAGCAGGCAAGGGGAGGCCAAGCAAAAAGCTGAGAAGCAGGGGCAGTCACTGAGGCAACCTTTACAATTAAATCAGCACACAGAGAGCAGCAGTTTGTTGGCTACAGCATGATCCTTGCAAGGGCTACTGCCAGAGTCCCCAAATGAATGTGTGTGCATCTCGTTTATCTGTTCTTTTCCTTCCTTCTATCTTCCATACCAGCCTCTGCTGGAGGAATATCCTTTCTCAGAGTTTCGTTTTGAGTAAAGAAGCTCGCTGGTGCAAAATGCAGCGCTTTAAATGTGGAATTGGAAAGAAAGCGTTGCAGCGTGGGATATTCCGGTTCACCCCGCCAGCCTGCCATGGCTTCTATGATTCTGTGGTACTTCATTCTATTCCCCCATTCCCCCTCCCCAGCAGTAGACACTCAGCACTCTCAGTCATCTTCAGAGTATTTGGGGGAACCCCCCCCCCATGTTTTTTTTCCAACTTCCACAAACTTAGGGATTTCCCCAAGGATACTGATGCTGCCTGGTTGTATCTCTGCAGCCCCATTTTGGCCACAAAGCCATTATAACTCATTGCTTAAGTTAATTGCTATTATATTTTACTAGCGTTATGATCAGTCTCCCCCAGTGTGATGGGGCCAGGTGGTCCAAGCTGTACTCAAACTCATAGGGTTGGAGCTTTATGAAACCGACAAGTCCCCCCCCCCAAAAAAAACTGACTCCCTCAATTTAATTTGTTCATTTATATCTTGCTGGCATCCGTCTGTCTCGGGAGACAATGGAGGAGTGAGCCTTTGGGGTTAAAGCTAAAATGTTGGAAGGTTGCAGCGCTTGCTGTGGCAGTAGAGACCAAAGCAGGGGAGACATGTTTTGTTGCAGCTAGAGCAGATGAAGGCGTTCAATTGTGCTGCTACAGATGCACCTTGGCTTTCTTTCTTCGCAGAAGTCATTCCTCCTCTGGTCACTGCTCTGGATACACAACCTGACCGCCTGTCGCCAGGCACTGCGGTCACCATGCGGCAGGTTTGATGTTGCCAGCCTTCATGCCAACCGCAGACTGTCTCGCCAGAGTGGTGCATGCTCTGGTTATCTCCCGCATGGACTACTGCAATGCACTCTATGTGGGGCTACCTTTGAAGGTGAAACTACAACTAATCCAGAATGCAACAGCTAGACTGGTGACTGGGAGCGGCCGCCGAAACCACATAATACCAGTCCTGAAAGGCCTACATTGGTTCCTGATACGTTTCCGAGCACAATTCAGTGTTGGTGCTGACCTTTAAAACGGCCTCGGCCCAGTATCCTGAAGGAGCGTCTCCACCCCCATCATTTTGCCCGGACACTGAGGTCCAGCACCGAGGGCCTTCTGGTGGTTCCCTCACGCGAAGTTACAGGGAACCAGGCAGAGGGCCTTCTCGGTAGTGGGACCCGCCCTGTGGTACACGCTCCCACCAGATGTCAAAGGAAAAAACAACTACCAGACTTTTAGGAGACATCTGAAGGCAGCCCTGTTTAGGGAAGCTTTTAATATCTGAAGGACTATTGTATTTTAATATTTTGTTGGAAGCCGCTCAGAGTGGCTGGGGAGATAATAATAATAATAACAATAATAATAATGATGATGATGATGATGTCGTCGTCACGTTTGCAGAGTTGGTCTGCCAACAAGGCTGATGCCCGTTGTATCTAGTAATAATTGCAAAACAATTCACTTTCTGCAGTTGATTCCAAGACACACCCAGCCCTGATTTCTTACTAGGGCACGTGATAACTCCTTAGTTATCCATCTTGTGGATGTCTCTTTAACAACAGTTTTAATTGGGTGATCTAAGGGTTCAGCTCCATGCCTCCGAAGGCTTCACCTGCTGTTTATGCCAATCAATCCTCTCTTAAAGGGACAGAAAACAGTCCAGAACTTTTAGCTTTCTGGCCAGTTGGCAACCCTTGGTTCCCAGAAAACTTTTTCAAGGTCTGAAAGCAGACCTTGGAATGCTGTTGTCTGATCCTTACCAGGCTTACTCAAAAGCAAGCCCTATTTATTTTACTTGTAAAACTAACATCCTGGCCACATGGGGCAACAGGCACATCACGCCAAAGATTAACAAAAACAAATGTCTTTTATTTTTAAAAAAACACCAGAAAGATATTTCTCATGCACAAGATTTACTCCTAAAAAGTTCAGCCATTACCCACATTGCCCCACCCCAAATAAACTCCAAAACACAATAAAGAAGTCCTTTGCTAGCTTCCTAAAGCTTAAAAAACAACTCAAAACTGGCAAAGCTCTCTAGGGCGAGAATGCCACGGCAAGAGCGAAATGCATTCTTAAACCCTGCAGAGGGTGGAGAAAGCTACTTTGGGGGGCAATTTAGAGGGGGGGGACACCAGATGGAAGGTTTAAGTGCTCCTTATACTGCTTTCTGCGCTGCCTTCCTAAGAATAAAACTGGCATTTTTGCTTTAACTTGTGTTGTGATTTTCATGGGGTGTGAACAGGAACCTTAGGGACATCCATGCGTTGTTGGACTTCAACTGCTATCAGCCCCAGCCAGCCTGGGCAATGGTCAGGCATGATGGGAGTTGTAGTCCAACAACACATGGAAGGCACCAGGCTCCTAACCATTATAAAAAGTATGGCTCTCGGTCCTATTTATTTATTTACTACATAAATAAGGGTACAGATGGACTACAGACCATGCTGGCTGTGGTTGTCGAACTCCACTGGCATCTGGATGGCCACAGATTTATATAAAGCCACCCAATAATGTTGTTCTGTCT